AGAATCAAGTCCGCGGCTACTATGGCCATTGGACGAACATTATATTTACAAAATTATACATAGTAATACATTTTTATGTAGAGATACAATATATAAAGGAGAGAGAACAATGAAACATTACGTTAACTTATTGTGTTAAATTTTGTTAAGAAGTCCTGTGATGCGGAGAAATTCCAGGGTAGTTGTGAGATTGCTCTGCTCGGGGCTGAGTAATTCGGAGAGCTGGTCCGGAAGRTTCAAATCTCTCCTAATCTGTTTAATTTAATAATTTATATTTTTGTTATCTATTTATCTGTTTAATTAATAATTTGTCACCCCTACATAGCTTCAACATTTAATATTAGGTATTGAACTACTATTATCTCATAATATCATAATAGGTTATATATTATAAGTAATTTTTCTAWTATATGTAATATATTTATATATAATATATATGATATGGTGGAACCAAGAAACTCCTTATTACATCCTCGTATTACTCCCTATTRAAAACCCTATTGCATACCGCTATACATATTGGTCGGTATGTAAAATGCCTAGTTTTTATTTTTTTCTAAACAGGTGGGTATAGATACGTGTTTATAAATTATTTTACTGACTTTGCACCGCCCACAGTGAATCGTTTTCCAAGTGTCTGGTGTACATCTGCGTCTGTTGGCGACACGCCGTGCTGCCTACGTCTCTGGGCCCGTTGAAGTCGATCAGCGTCTCGTAGAAGAGCTTCGCGAACCATGTCTTCGGAAAGCCGTTGTCCGCCGAACTCTCTRTATCAACGGACGTGACCTCGAAGACGTGGATGAATAAAACGACACCCACGCAAACCAACAATAACTCACAATAAGACATTATTTTTGTTATAATAATATATCGTATTAATTGTGTTATTATATTTAATATATTAATTTGTATTATATTTCACCCATGCGTTAGGTCCGTCGCACATACCAGTTCGTTAACTAATGCGGAACGGGTTTGTGAAACAGCGGCAATCGTGAATCAAGGATCAAACTTCCGTCGGGAGTGGTTAGTGGATCGATATTACAGGAAACTATATTTTATTTGATTATATAACGATGGCTACACGACTACACAGTAAAACCTTGTACATCGAAATTCKAAACAAAAAAATCGTTTCCTAGATGAACTGTTAATTTTTATATATACAGAGTGTCCCGTGAGGATGTACCCGTTGCGATATATCTCACTAAATAATGGAGATATCAAAATTCTGTTATTGTAATAAGACTCACCGGAATAATAAATACAAATATTTCATTTTTTAATTTATTTCAATTTTTAGGTAAAAAAAAGTTAAAAAATAAAATTTTTAATTTAATTATTTCCGAAAAAATTGAATATAACCATTCTGTAGAGTTTATTTTTCTGAAAATATTGACGTTTCAAAATTTTATTTTCAGTAATTTCCTGATTTTTAATATTTTTTTCTAGTTTTGAAGAAATAACTAGGCACGCTGAAAGTGTTCGGCCGGCTGTACGAGAAAGCATCACGTGCGGCGCGACGGGTCATATACTTATATGTTTGATAACACTATAATATTTATGTTGTTTAATAATTCGTAATTTTTCTCAAATCTAAAAAAAAAAATTTAAATCAGTAAATTAATGTAAATAGAATTTAGCAACATCAATATTTTTCTTGAAGTATTGTGTTTCAAGGAGTTTGTACTGCGTATTTAAAATATAAAATTAAGTATAGATTACATAAACTCTTGTTAGGCTGWAGTTACCTATATTTTGAGGACTTATTCTTAGCGTTGTTTCTTTTATGTCTTCATTTTGAATAATTATGAATTTATGGATTTATATAGGTACCTACCCGATTTCAGGTCTTTGTGTAGCGTGAAATCAAGTGATTAAATTATAGGTACCATAATATTAATATTATTAATTTGATTTTTATGATCGACTCATAATATACGAGACAACTATACTCGCCTCCACGTAAGCGGCGTCGTACCATATACCTTATACATTTTCACACAACTATTAAGTGAATTCTTACTATAAATGATGAATATATACAKATATTGAGTATAGTATAATGATTATAAAAAAAAATAATTTAATGTAAACACCCATTCCATTACTGCGATGAAGTAATTTATTGATTTAAAGTCACATACTCACATCACCAAACTGTATAACTCAACAGAATACACTCAAGTATTCTGCTCTCTCCTCAACACGTACCTCCACCCTAAAACAATCAGATATTTCCAACAGTCAAAATTTCTTCTACCGTAACTCACTTTCAACATTCACTCACATCCGCAAGTTAGGTCTACCATCGTCAGACACCGATCAAACAGCAAAATACCCAAAAGCTGGCCGCTACTTATGGGCCAACTCAACTAACTAATATCAACCAAATCAATTCATCCAACTCGTCATAGGCTAACGCCTGACACGAGTACATAGGCACATCGCCGTCATACAAGCAATGCAAAAGTATTCTGCTTGGCTTTGCTTTGCGTTGGGGCGATGGCTTTGCCRTTAACTATACCAGGTTTGCGCCTCTACTAAYGGATGGAAGTTTGAAGATGGTTAAGTTTGTTTATTGGGTATCCATGTAAATGAGTAAGTTTTACTCTAGAATTCTATGTGTATAATAATATTATATTCATACAATAATTAAATACTTAGATGTGAAAATAATACAATTTATAAATATTAATCTTACTAAAAGTATAAGAAGAAATTATTATCATGATAAAMAATAAACATACATAAAAACTATAAATTATTGCTTTATTGTGTAAGCTTATGCCTACTACAATTCGARTGAAACACACTTTTCCTTATTTATATAATTTTATGTTCATCATAATATAATACTTACTAATAACTGATAACAATACAAGGCGTGCGGTTGAACAATAACCACCATACGATCTGCATTCAAATAAATATTTCACCCCCTCATCGATATTTTCAGTATCATGTGTAATGTGTAGTTACAGTGAATGCTGTATCATACACGTATTTGTATATTTTATCCTACCTATATTATACACTATATAAATGTGATAGACGATAGTACACTAAATATATTTGAAGTATCACTTATTTCAATAAATTTCTGTTCTTGACCATTGTTCTTATTCCAATTAAATGCTTACTAGATTGATGTTGAAATCTTTGGAATTTTCGATTACCTTATCTGAATGCATCTTCACTAGAGATCCAGCATYCCATTTTTTTTTCAAACTTTGAAATTTATTTGACACTTAAATTTTTATAGAAAATGTAAGACTTAAAAATTAATTTCCATTTATTAACAATATGGAAATAAATAAGTACCTACTTAATTTAAATATGTTATTTAAGGCATAATTTTAAATTTCTTAACACATCACTTATATATAATTATGTCACGCTTTCAGCTCTGTCGGTAAATACAAAAATTAAATATTTGTAGAGAAAAGTATAACTCATATCATAGGTACAATATTTTATATAATATAAACAGTGGCGCATTTAAGGGGAGGGGGGCGAAAGGGGCGAATGCCTCAAGTGGCAAATTTTGGGCGGTGGCAAAAGATTCTAACTTATACATAAATATGTATTTTTGTTTTTGTAATGGAGGAGAGTGGAAAAATTATTTTGGCCCGGGTTGCGTGTACATTAAATGCGCCTCTGACTATTATATAATATTATATACTACTGTTGAAGTGTTGACTGTAGACACAACCCAATATAATACAAAACTAGCAACTAACTTATTAACACATTGTATATTTGTTCGTAATATTAATGTATTCAGGGAGATATTGAAAATCTCTTCGATTCAAACTGTGCTCATTTAGGTATTATTTATAATGTGTCATAATAATGTTGAGCCTCTGATCAACAGCAATTTCGATTTTTCGATTTGGTATGGAATATTATGTACAAACTATGAAGAGACAGCTGCAGTTAATTTTAAGTTGTGGCCAATGGGAGATCTAAATTAATATTCCAAGAGATTATAGTTGTTCATGCAGGAAATGTGAAAATAGTAGGTACAATACAAATACCTACTACTAATTGACAACCATGAATGGATTTATAGTTTAAACATTATTTGGCAATTATCCACTATTAATACATTTTAAAACTAATTCCGATTTATGTAATTGTATAGGTTGGTATTATTGAATATTTCTGTACCCAAGGTAATCTAGGTAGTCACTTTGTTCTAAGGTAGTCTTGTATGCATTAGACATATTTTTAAAAATTCTAATCGAAGCGATAGCCCGTATTTCAACAAAATTAAAAAGTAGTTGGAAGAAAAACTAATTCCTAAACGAAATGTAATATGGGCGTTTAAAGAGGTCATATAACCATTTTGTTAAGTTACGAAATAGTTAACAGGTTCATTATGAATTGTTGAGTTTAATAAGTAATAACGGAACAGGTTTCTATATTATTRTTTTAAGTATCAACATTATCAACTAAAAACAAAGATTATAGATAATGGAGTGTGACAATATATTATTTAGAAATTAAAACTAATGTAACAAAAATG